GCTTGCAAGACTTTTTCTGTCTTCATCTTGGGCTTTCAAGACGTATTTTTACTATCACATGTCTGGGTGTGATCTCCTATTATCCTACCTATAGTTTATTGACTTTCTTAGATATGTAGATGCAAATGCTTTTTGTTGCATTTAGGAATTTTTCAGTTCTTGTATCTTTGAATATTTTTTCTGCTCTTTTCTCTGCTAGTGGTACCTCTGGTACCTGTACACCCCTGTCTCGTGGCATGCCACACCTCCGACGTTCTGTTCCTTTTTATTCATTCTGGTTTCTGCTTCTCAGACTGCACGATCTCCATCTTTCTCCCAACTCACTTGTTGTTCTGCCTTTTCAAATCTAGTGTTGAGCCCCCACAGTGAATTTTGCATTTCTATAATTTACCTTCCAAGTCTGGAATTCCCGTTTTGTTCATTTTTATAATCTCTTTTTATTGGTATTCTTAGTTTGATGCAATTTTGTCATCATGCCTTTCTTTAAGCATGTGTTCCTTTAGTTCCCTGAACATATCTATAGGACGTTTTGATGTCTTGTCTCCTGTACCTGGGCCCTCTCAAATGCAGTTTCTGTTGCCTGCTCAGTGAGTAGAGGCCAGTTTGAGGACAGGACTCCCACACTTCCTGGCCTGGGATGGAGCTTCTGTTAAAAATGCCAGGGGCCTGCCCCTCCCTGGGAGTAATCCTAGCCCTCGATCTGGACCTGTGGGGAGAAGCAGCGCTCATCTTCTTGGCCACAACCGCCTGGAGTTGAGCTCCCATTACACACACTGGCCCTGAGGAAGTGGGAGAGGAATAGCTAAGGGGAAGCAGGTTGTGGCTCAGATGCCACAAACTCTTGCTGTTTGTTGTGAGATTTAGCAAATTTTCCTGAATTTCTTCTTTCAGGGACCTTACAGTACTTTAACTGAAGGGCACCTGGGTGGCTCAGTTAACCATCCGAGTCTTGATTGCAGCTCAGGTCATGATCTTACAGTCATGAGATCAAGCCCGGAGTCAGGCTCTGCACTGAGCATGGAGCCTGCTTAAGATTCTCTCCCACCCCCCCCCCCGGCCCTTCCCCTGCTCACTCCCTCAAAAAAAAGAAAAAAAAAGGAAAGAAAGAAAGAGAAAAAAATAGTTTAATTCAGAAGAGCCTCTCTCCCAAACCACATGTGTGGCGTGTTCATGTTGTCATGTTTTTCAGGTCTACCTTCAATGTGTTTCATCCTGGGACACCGTGACTGCGTGTAAATAGCATGTATTTAAATCCACCCGCATATTTGCTTCCTTTGCTTTAATATTCCTTCTTTCATCTGGGATCATTTCTCCTTTAGTTTGAATCCTATCCAACAGAACATTTACTGCTCATAAGAAAAGTGTTAGCTTTTATGTGACAGTTACTTATTTATTTTGTCCTGGTTTCTGAAATACATTTTTGTTGGATATTCTAAGTTGACAGTTAATTTACCTCAGCACCTGGTACTAATCCATCTTACATTATTACTATTGATGTGATTAACAATATTTTTTAAAATATCTCATAAAGCTTTTCAGTTTTTTGGTGTCCCCCTGCCCCCCATTTAGGGTCTCTCTGGTCACCCAGACCAACAAAGTAACAGAAACGGAAGTCCTCCTGTCTGGGCTCATTCTCATGGACAAAAAAAATGAAATCTAGTGTCAGTCTTCACATGATAGCCCTTGCCACACTGTTGAGCCACTGAGTGAGGGTTTACTACCCCTCATGTGTGTTCTGACTCGAAGCCAATAATAAAAGCCTAAAGAACTTTCACACAATTTTAGGTGATACCCGGTGAGTACTTCTAGAATGGCAATGTGAGGATATCTGTGAAACCGTTCCCCCGTGAAACCACCATTACTGGTGAAAATTGTAAAAGTCAACCACTTAAAATCTCTAGAAATTGGCCTTAAAAGTCCCCAGAGGAGAAATGTTCTGGCAGGAAATAAAGGTAATGATTACCATTGATTATCGTAAGTTATATCTGACTGTTAAAACTGTTATGGTAATACATAAAAGAATAGAAATAATATACATTACCTCCAAAGTAGTAGAGGGGGAAATGGAATGTGAAAAAATAAATAAATAATAGTCCTCAAGGAAGGCAAGAAAGAAGAGGAAAAATATAGGCAAGACATATAACACAAAATTTAAATGTTTCTACTAAGACTACTAGATTATTAGGCTGTAGTTTTTAAAACTTCTATATATATTGATCCTGAGAGCTGAAATAGAAACATAAAAAAGCAAAATGATAGTAAAAGACACATCATGCAAATAACTAAAAAAATCTGAGGCTTTTATGTTTTAACACATATAAAACAGACTTCAAAAAAAAAAACTGATATAAGATCACCCACAAAAAGCTGACTGCAGTACAAGATACATTAATTTACAAACATCTACACAAGGAGTAACACAGTTTCAAGATGTATTCCAAAAAATGTCCATATTTACCTGGAGAATTTGACATGACCACAGAGGGAGATTTTCACATGCTTCTCTTAGTAATGGACAGCTCAAGCAGACAAAGAAATAGGACTTATTTATAAGTGTTCCTGATTTTAAAAAGTAAGAGCATATTATGAATAATATTTGCCAATATAAATTTGAAAACTTAAATATACAAAGTCCTGGAAAGCTGTAACTTACTAAAACTGATGAGAGGAGAAAAAGAAAAGTTGAACAATCTTATTTATTAAAGAAATGTAATCATCCCATGAAGAAATATCAAGTCCAGATCATTTTTACTGGCGTATTCTACTAAACATTTAAGATAGAAGTAATTACAATCTTCTACAATTTATCCCAGCAAATGAGAAAATAAAGACACTGCCTGAGTCATTTAATGAGGTTAGCAAAAGTTTATTAGCAAAACTAAAGACAACACAAGAAGGAAACATAAATGTCAATCTTATGTATACAGACGAAAAAATCCTAAACAAAGTATTATTACATAATGAAACCAAGAAACTACTGTTATTTTTGTGAGGTGTTTTGAGGTTTTAAAGAAAATGTCCACAATTTTTGGAGTTCCGTACCAAAGTGTATAGGGGAGAGACAACAGAAGGTCTGAAATTTGCTTTAAAGTAGAGAGTGAGAAGGGGCGCCTGGGTGGCTCAGTCTGTTAAGCATCTGACTTTGGCTCAGGTCATGATCTCACAGTTCAGAAGTTCAAGCTCCGCATCAGGCTCTGTGCCGACAGCTCAGACCCTGGAGCCTGCTTCAGATTCTGTGTCTCCCTCTCTCTCTGCCCCTCCCCTCCGTGTACTCTGTCTCTCAAAAATAAATAAAACATTTTTAAAAATCTGCAAAAAAGTGGGAGATTAAATTGCTTCTCAAATATTCTAGAATGTGGATATGAGTTTATTGGAGTTTGTCATGCTTTTCTCATGTGTGTATTTGAAAAGTTTCATGATACAAAAGGACTAATGATACTGGATTATATATCATTTTCTTTTAAAAAGAGAAATACACATTATGAGGTGTGAGAAGCTACCTGGACAGAAATGTGACATGGTGGGGAATTCATTTTTTTAGGCATTTAATCTGGCCTCATCCCAAAGGGGTCCCAAGCAAGGTGCTTTCAAGCAGTGCTGTGTGTGTGGTTTCTGAAGGCAGAGCAAGGATGAGCTCCTCCTGAGCAGGAACATTCCAGGAGATGGAGGAACTTCCTGGCCCTCCTAAATCTCACAGCTAGAAAAGGCCCAGGTGCTGCTTCTGGCCCTGGTTGGAGTTCACTTCCACTTTTACCTCCGTCACAGGGTAGAGCCAAGTGATGTCTGTGGAAAAAGTCAGCAGGTGTGAGGCTGTGCAAGTGTATACAAATGTAAGACGGTTGGCGTATTTTGCAGAAGCCGTTCTAAGTGTAAAAGTGAAAGAGAGTGCAGCTGCTTTGGAGAACAATCCAGCAGGAAGTGACCACATGACCCAGCTGTGCTGCTCCTGGCTGTGTGTGTGTGTGTGTGTACTCGAAAGAAAGTGAAAGTTTATGGCTACACAAAAGGTATTACAGATGTTCAGAGCATCACCATTCATACTAGCCCAGTCAAAACAATCAAAACGTCCACACTGTTGAAGGGATACACAGAACGCAGTTTCCGTACAGTGGGGTAGGCCTCTGCAAGGAAGCCCTGGCCCGTGCTATATGGAGGGGCCTTGCCCGCGGCTTGCTAAGTGAAGGAAGCAGTCACAGAAGATCACAAACGGTGTGATTCCGGCTACCTGAAATATCCAGACTAAGCAAATTCATAGAGACAGGAAGTGGGGGGTGGGGGAAATGGGGAATGAGAGCTAATGGGGACGGCTTTCCTTTGGGGGCTAAATAACTGCGAATATACTAAAAACCACAGAGTTGTACGCTTTAAAGGCTAAATTTTATGGTGTGTGAATGATGTGTCAGTAAAGCTTGCCTCTCAAAGGCTGGGGGTAAGAGAGAGTTTGAAGCAAAATGGTTTCGTCTCCTACCACTCCTCCCTCTGTTACCACCTCCACCTGGGCCCTGAAGTCTTCTGTCAAATTCAGCAAGATGGAGGATTTTTTTTCCTAGAATTTCAGTGAGAAAAGAAAATGATGAGTCTGAAGCAGAAACAGTGAGAAAGCCAAGAACTGCCGTTTACTCCCACCCCCTGCCCCCTTCTGTGCCAGTCACTGGTGAATCTGGACAAGGCCCCCTCCTGTGGCTGCCCAGGGCGGGGGGGGGGGGGAGACAGCGTTTGCAGAAGGCACCCTCCCGTTTGCCGAGGCCCCCCTAGGGCAGTGAGCATCTTCACTGGCCGAGCAGAGCTGTGATGGCTTGTTTAAATCACCAAACCTAACCGTCGGAACTGCCCCACGCACAGCCCCATAGGCCTCCTCCCAAAAGCAGGGCTCCCGGCCGTGTGACGACTGTCTGGCCAGCTCGGTCTGCGGTGGCGAGGATGATCGCTTTCCGGGCCAGTTGGCCTTCACTCATCTTGTGCTTTCTCTCCCTGTTTTCCTGTCTTGTTTTGTTTTTCAGTGGCTGCTTCAACCCCCAACTCCAGCGCCGGTGCAGCCATGAACTCTCTGACCTCTCTTGGGACTCTGCAAGGGCTGGCAGGAGCCACTGTCGGGCTGAATAATATTAATGCACTAGCAGGTACCCTCAACAGTGAGTATTTGCTGCTCTGGTGGACAGCCTTCCCCCAAATTCTCCCCAGAAAGTGGTCAGCCAGCAGGGACCCGCAGAGGAGTCAGGGAGAACTAAAACTTGGGATGGAGGAGCACATGCAGTCTACGTTCATGTTGTCTCAAAGGTACCCTGCCCTCCGCACCCCTGCTTTTTTCTAATACACAAAATGTGCGTTCCTTCGTTCATAGGTGTCTGTGGCTGACAGCTAGCTGCAGGTTTCCCAGAGCGGGTGGTTTGGCTCTCCTCTGAGAGGCAGTGTGTTTTCGCAGAAAAGTGGACGCCTGGGTCCAGTTCCAAATCCGGCAGGCACCTGCAGAAACCTTAGCTAATCTCTGCCCGCCCACCCCAGGCTTCAGAGTCCCATTTGAAAACTGAAGTTTCTGGATTAGTTTATTTTATCGGTGCCCTCTCGCTCTAAAGATTGATGACCTATACAGAGAAGGATTGGAAAGAAGGAAACAAAGCTGAGTGGAAAAGGCCCTGGCAGGCAGTGGTGCCTGCACTCACAGACGGGGTCACTCAACAGCAGGGCCCCTCTGAAGAGTCTCACGTCGCCAAGGCAGGTTGAAGCAGAGGGGGGCAACTTGCTTTCAGAACTACTTCAGCCCGAAACCTAGGGACTCGCTGAAGAACTCCAGGTTCTGTCCCACACAGCCTGCCCATTTCTGCCATTTTAGAGCTGTGGGGGCGACAGTCCCCAGCCAGAGAATAAGTAAGTCTGGTTTAGACTTATAATAATAATAATGGTTTAGGCTTGTGCCTCACACTGGCTCCTCCCCTGGGGAGAACTGTCCCTGTGCCCAGAAAAGGGACATCCCATTTGCCTTTCCCTCAGTCCTGTCCTGCACCGAGAATAGCCATGCCCAGGAGAGCCCGAGCAATTCTGATTTCTGATTTGGGGGCCCAGTCACCTACCGTGCCATGCGGGCGACACAGCCCCTGCCCACTTCAGGCTTTACAGAAGGGTCCCTGGCAACTTAGTTTATGCCACGACTTAAGAAGTGAATAGTTTTTAAGGAGCGATCAGATGGTATCATTTTTTTAAGCAAAAAAAAATTTAAGAAAATTCTGTATTTGAAAATCTCGAAAAGAATACCTTGCAGTTTATTTGAAAGAAAAAAACAAAAATCAGTCTAGACCTCATCAAATTTCCAAAGTTTTAATATACACTTTTATTCAGATACTCTGGGAAAAACAAATTGGGACTGAGTTTTATCTGACCATAGGCGAAGGAAAAAAAAAAAAGAAAAAAAAAGCTGATTCCTTCCAGACATGAAAGCTCTCAATTAGCAAATAGCGGATGAAGGGGTGAGCACGTGACGACAGAATGTCGGACTCCAGCACAGCGCCTCGAGCCGCCCAATTCCCAGCAGCCCGGGAGGCGCCCGCAGTCCGTTTACTCCTGTTTCTGACCTTGTTCCGCAGACGCTCCAACCCACTTCCTTCCCCTCGGTGGCAGACATGGGTGTTTACACACATGCCTTCATGCTGCTTCTCTTGCCCCAGGACCTAGTTCCCCTAAAACAAGGACTTTGATTTGACCGCCTGCCTGTCCTGTCCTTGGTCTGCAAAGTAACAGGCCAGTGGGAATGGCTGTCCTCCTCAGCACGTGCTCATGACTGCTGTGTGTCGTCCTCGGGTCCGTGTGTCCGCCTCTCTCCATCCTGGTGTGCTGTGCTTTGCTGGCATTTCCCCATCGTTCCCGTGAGGGACTAAAGAGGGACTCTGTTACATGGCTGAGACTATGACTAGTTCTTGCGCGGGGTCTGTGTCATACAAATGTTGCTTCTGGCAAGGACAAAAGGCTTAAATTGTTCTGTTTTTTAAATTGTTTGCAATTGGGGTGGTACAGGTCTGTACAGTTCACGGGGAATTAAGAATGTGTCTAGTTTCAGACAGTCCCTACCAGACAGTGTGAACCAGGAAACGTGTTTAAGTAAACCACAAATCATGAACAAAACTACATTCCTTCTGATCTGGTAAGTTGTTGCTGGCACAGAGCTATTTAATAATCCCAGTATTGGAGCAGATACTTGTTTCTTTTCTCAAATACCAAGAGAAACCCAAAATATGTAGACTTTCCTCTTTCAGACCATTCTGCCTCATGATGATGCTACTTGTCCTAATGGATAATTCTCAGAGAAGGTACTCAAGAAATGGTTACCTGAACAGAGGTAGTTGGCCAGCTTCCATATCATTGCCATTCCCCACCCTACTGCATCCCAGGAACACTTACTGGGTAGTGAAAGAATTCTCTGGCTATCTGAATAGAGTCCTCTTTCCCAGGGACCAGAGAGCCAGGAAGAATATAGGTAGATGGAATCCAATTAATTCCCAACCTCATCTTCCTGTAAATCTTACCCTCTTCACTTCACTCCACTCCACTCCCCCTCCCGAAATAAAGTTTTGGGTAGAAGAAAAGTAGCTAAGTGTCTCCTTCCTTCTCCATACATTCATGAATGGAGGGGCTAACACAGTACAGTCGAACCCTACAGCTAAAAGCAGAAATTGGCAAGATCAGAAGTAAGGAATGTGGGTGATTCAGTAACAGGGCTTTGGCTTCTGGATTATCTGAGGGTTCTCCAGGCAGGTTTTGTTTATTAAGAGCTGAGCAAAGACGAAGAAGTATTTTTGGTAGACACACCCGCCCAAGAGTGTGTATCTGACTCCTTGTATTTAAATGTATATTAAGTGACACACTTATTTTTCCTCATTGCGGTCCCCTTGTGCTTCCAAAAAGCTTATCATAGAGCACTTACAATGAGGATCATCAGAATATAATCAGGCACAAGTGCCTGGTGAACAGTGTTTTTATGGAAATACTTGACCCTTGAACAACACAGGTTTGAAATGTGCAGGTCCAGTTAGGACCTGCAGATTTCTATCAGTTAATACAGCAAGGTACTACAAGCGTGTCGTCATTTTCCTTATGATTTTCTTAACGTTTTCTCTATTTTAAGAATACAGTGTATATAATACATATAACGTACGAAATACGTGTTAAAATTTATGTTAGCAGCTAGAGCTTCTGGTCAAAAGTAGGTTGTTAGTAGTTAAGCTTTTGGGGAGAAAAATTAACATACAGAGACATTCAATTGAACCCCCATGTTGTTCAAGAGTCAACCGTATTTTATGTAAAGGAGAGAGGAGAAGAGCAATATTCTGGCCTATCACTCTTAATATGCATTATAACGTTACTCTGTTAATCTATATTCTTGGAATTTGTGGAATGCATGTAGTTAGATACGTATACAAGCACACACAACTTCACACATGCTTGTCACCGTAACAACACAAACACAGATATAAATGCCACTAAGTACATATTCATACTCCTCTACCATGGTTCTAGACATTTTACACATATTATCAGCTTGCACCTTAGAAGAACGTATACCTCATCTAAATGTATCCCAGGAAACATAACAAATCTACAGGAATATATTAATACATTCCTATTCCTACTTTTTTTTTTCTTTTTTCTTCTTGGTACTTAACTTCCTCTACCACTGCCTCTACTTTTCAATACCATCTTCACAGAGGCCACCAAAACTGCTCCTGCTCATATTGGTGGGTCCTTCTGTGTCATTTGCAGAGATTTACTCAGTCATCTCAGGTCCCCCTCAGTTGAGGACCTTTAGAGTTAAAGCATCTCACAGGCAGGATATGCACTGACTTTGTGGACCATTAGCAGAAACAGATGAGGTTGCCACATCTGTCATTTTGTTCCTCATCCAAACAGCATGCGTGGGAATTTAAGTGGGATAAAATGATCCATGCTTTTGGCTTTTCAAAAGGAAATCCCTATTCTTTTAAGGGGAAGCATTTATTCAGTTGAACTTTCTCCAAACTTCTGTTTCTACTGCCCACAGTTTTTACATGTAATCAGATACCAGCAGCTGAACTGTAAAGTGTTATCTTTGACAGAATAATTACTTAATATAAATCTTCCTTGGGTGATTTTTCAAATTATACAAGGTAATCAGTTACCTCCTGTACCTTGGCTTCGGCAAACACAGGCCCCGGAATCTCCAGGAGAGTGTTGGTTTTAAATATTCTCCGTACACTTACACTTGTCAGAATTGTCATCCTTATTTTTTGCTTGGAAGGATGGTTATACGATGGAGATGAAAGGCCTGGGTTGGAGAGCCCTTGCCAGTCCCCTCGCTGGCACCAGCACCCCTTTCCTTGATGCCTCCGTACCATTCGGCTCCCCACCTCGGGCAGGTGAAGGCAGCCACGCTACCGCCCACGCACATGCAGCCAGCTGAAACGAGCCAAACCCTTCGGAGGGCAGATCTGTCCAAAGGTCTAGTCCAGACACAGCAGCCGCTACAAAGTGTAGGCAGGAACGGTGACCATGTGTCGGAAGCCTCACAGCAACCTGGTCCTGAGACTCACCCAGTTTCAAGAGGGGGGAAAAATGGCGAAAAGGGGGAAAGAGAAGAAAATTCTCCTAACCTGGATGATTAAACAGTAAGAAAGAAAAAAAAGTCTCGGGCCAGAGGAGGGCAAAGACGGCTCAGGTTCAAAGACGGCTGCAGGGCAGCAGCGCCCGAGTCCAGCCCCGCAGGAGCTGCGGACCAGGCACCGCCCTGCAGGCCGGGATGCACCCCAGGGTGTACGGAGAGTGGCGGGTCACCACTCCCTCTCACCAGAGTTTCTTCCTGCATGGGAGTCCAGCTTTCCAGAGGGCCGAGCCCCACGGCGCAACGGTCTGTGTCCCTGGCACCTATGAACACCTGACAGAAAAGAAACACTGATGTTTCTTTGCATTCACACCACTATTGGGAGGGGAGGATAAAATAAGACCAGAGGAGAGAAGAGAAATCCATCCCCAGCCCTTCAGCACCATAAGAAAAGCGGGGGTGAAGGAGAGGTCTGGGTGAGGTAAATGGGATTCGCTGGCGTCTGAGGGTTTCATTAGGAGGCCACACTAGTTCCAAACTCTTTAACAGCATTTATTTCCATGACCAAAAAAAAATTAGAGAATAGACTCCTTCACAATGAGAAACTTCAAGCACAGCCTTCAGGACCTCTGCTGGCCAACACCTTTGTTGAACAGTTTGAATTTGCTGCATCTGCTTGCAGACGACTTCCTCTCGGGAGGCTTACTATTCCATTCTCTGTGCTTCAGACTCTCCTCTTCTCTCCCCCCCACCCCCAAACCAGCCCGATGCTGTGTCTGTGCTGAGCAGACTGGGCTTGGTACTTTCTCCCAGGGCCCACCTCTGTCTCCTCAGGCTAGAGGCGCTGTGCATTTCCTTTGCCGTTAGGCCATGGTCTGATTCCTCTCGTATGGGGTCCTTTTAACCTACGATATGAAGTTATCACCATAACAGAGTCACGTCGAGACTAAGAATATTCCCCACTCGCTCCATCTCCTGTGGGTGGCCAGCAGGACCACTGATGGATGGTGACAGGATTCTAGTACTGGATTCCTCTGTATAATTTCTAAGCATCTTTAGTCCTCTGTCTTCATTCGACTTCTAATTTTTTTCAGTCATCTATGGTGTTTTAATAGCCCTAATCAGTTCGAGAGTTTCATTAATGTTTTCAGTAATTTTTTCCCAAAGACATGTTTTTTTTTAATGTCTTAATCATAAGGGGAACTAAAAGCAATTATGATGTCACCTCTTCATTTCCTGAGTTCACATGAAAGTTAATGCTGTATAAAAGTGTTGCTTGTTTTGACTCCATATTCACGGAGAACGTGGCTCAGTCAGCAACCATAGTAGAGCAACGAGCAGCCAGGATACAAGGAAAACCAGTGTGCTAGACAACACCCAGTCCGTGTCCGTTAATAGCCAGGAGCCAGCTTACAGACATGGGTGTCACTTCAGCTAACTGAAAACCACAACCTGGAGCTCCTTCATGGGTAGACCTTCCAGTGATGTGGGCAGTGATTAGTATTTGCATGCATGCATGCATGCATGCATGCATGCGTCTCCTCACTGGTAAAGATGGCCCCATTCTGTTTTGAGCCCCTCATGGTACATAAGCAGCATTAGTTCTCTGCGATGAGGGTAAGGGTCCACATTTTTTCCTAGCCTTAATTCTTGAGCCTTCCTGCTCCCTAACACCATCCCTCTGCTCTTTCCGAGAGCCAGAAGGGCACTGCCCGCACACCGGTCCACCGAGGACAGAGCTGGCCTCCGGGGCCATCTCATTAGATGGCTTAGGGACACCAGTTTTATCCCTTTCGCCTCAAACACTTGAGCCATCCCCCGGCTCCTCAGAGAGCCCAGGAAATGGATTTAAGTGTACAGATGTTACAAGTCTCTGTCACTAGTGTTGTTTTACCTGCTTCTAAGCTCCAAGAAGGAAAAGGATTTCATTTCAAAAAGACAACGGTACTTGCCAGTAGCACAGCGCATGGAATGGAGACATATTGTCTATCTGTAGCGCCTCTGTGAACTTGGATCACTGGCCTTAGAAAGTGAGGGTCTCATTGCTCAGGGGTGTTGGGGGCTTTGTGGTACGTTCACCATTCTGCCAATGTATCCCTTCATTGTTGCGTTTTTCTTTCCGTGTCAGTCTCACTGGTGTGCTGGCTGCATGCACTTGCTGTTGTACGTGTGTGAAATGATTCTCTAACTTCCTTTGGAAAGCACTAATGAAAAGTGCTATTTCTCTTCTCTATTGTTGGGTTTTTTGTAAAGTTGCTCAAATGCTCTCAGGTATGGCGGCTCTGAATGGAGGACTTGGCGCCACGGGCTTGACGAATGGCACGGCGGGCACCATGGACGCCCTCACGCAGGCCTACTCAGGGATCCAGCAGTACGCGGCCGCGGCGCTGCCCACGCTGTACAGCCAGAGCCTGCTGCAGCAGCAGAGCGCCGCGGGCAGCCAGAAGGAAGGTAGGTGCCCGGGCCCGGCCGGCGGCGCGCGAGCCGGTGGCGGCCTGCGGAGAAGCTAGATGGGGCCGGCGTCACAAGCGATGGCAGTTAGCTTATTTCTGCTTCCCGGGCTTCGTGGTGGTTTTCTTTTTTCCGGGTCTTTTGGGTTCTTTTTTTTCATCTTTGAATTTATCTCCCAAGATGGCCTTCTCCCCCGGCGCGCCCTCACACGCACCCACTGAGGAGCCCCCGCTCCAGAGTCGGCATGGCCCACCTAGGCTTTCTCCCTGAACACGCCAACTCCTCGTCAGCTCGGGGCGGACACGAACGGACAGTCTCCTGTGGGCAAAGCGCTCTCAGGCACATCCCAGGTTTCCCAATGTCCACTAACCCGGTGACCGTGTAGCCCGCCTCCTGGTGGGTGAGGCTTTCCGGGGCGTTGATAAAAGGCACCATCAGGATGGACTGGGTCTGTGGTTAGTCTGGGCTTTCTGAGGAAGGAACTAAGTGACTGACTGTCTTGCTGCTCTGCCAGTAAGGCAGAGTGAGTAGGAGGAAGTTGATGCTAAGAATGAACTGAAGCTGACTGCAGAATAGTTGAGGAGCCAGTCCAGAGAGGAACAGCTCACCCGGTCTCTTCCTTTCCTCCTGTGTGGTTTCTTGAAAGCAAAATCTGCAACGTGATGTCGATTCTCTTTCTGACCTGTTTCGGTAGGGGGTACGAAGCTACAATAGGGAAGTACCAAAGAAGGGTTTTCCATTTCTTCCCCTCCTTTATCCTCACCCTATAGTTCCAAACTGTTGTCTGCATTCTTTGACTTGAAACGTGGTGTTGTGCAAGAAATAGTTTTATTTTATAAAGTGAACTTTAAAAGGGACACCACTTTAAAGACAGGTGTAAAAAAATTTTTTTTTCCATTTAGAAATATGAGATTGTTAAAAATGAAAGATAAATGAAAGTTTCTCCTTATTCTTAGCTGTGACCGTTAGTGTAAAATCCTGCACAACTCTTCAGTCCACAGTGTTTCCCGAGGCACGGGGAGACCACACATCATGTATAGCATGTTTCCACAAGAAAAGCCTGCACTGAGGTCCCTTCATCTGGGGTCTGACTACCCAAATGGTGATAAATCGGGGTAGCAGGAGGGGGGGGGGGTCTATGAGATAAGGATGTTCTCAGAAGAGACCACAAAAGCTAGGTCTCTCCATGAATTTTAGAGAATGCTGGTCACTTCCAGTGGGGCCTTCCAGCAAGCTGCACAACCCGTGTCGCTGAGAAATTTGAGCCACGGTGGCCTCAGCGTGTAGCGGTGCAAGGGTGAAGCCCGGGCCCCAAACACTCCTCCCGTTGCTGTAGTGCAGCCCACTGCCCGAAGGGTCCATGCCTTGAGTTCCCAGCATTCCCTGCGCGGTAGCGGCCACCCACTGCAGAGTATTGACACTTAGATATCAGGACTACCAGTAACAAGGGTTAGTGTTTGATTTTTGTTGTTGGTGGTGTTTCTTGGCTTGTTTAGTGTTTTAAAATCATCTCCCACTTCCTCATACCTCTCCTCTGATCACCTTCCCACCCAGTTGATGTGTGCTCAAGAAATTTAAACCATCTTAATAGTTATAACCAAAGTGTTATTTTCAAGGCAGGTTATACTGGAAATGAAAAAAATGAATTCCACTACTAAATAGATTTTTAGGTTTTCTACTCCATAGTTTTGTTATTTAGGTTGAAAGTCAAGTTGATGTATTTAGTCATGTATCCTTGTGTATTTCCCCAGAGGAAAATAAGCCAGGCTGGCTTTGTTTTTTAAATTGGGTTTGCTATTTTGCCCAGCTAAATCTTCTAAAGGCTGCTTGGGGGACACTGACCACCTTTCCTGTCCCTCTTAAGTGCCCTCTGACCTCCTCCATAGCTTCCCGTCCTCCCTGATTGACGGGAAGGAAATCACTCTCGCACACACAGGTAGAGCCTCTGGATGCCTGCACCGAAGCTAGTGGTGCTGGTGGGCTGACACAGACCCCTCAGTGCTCCATCCCAGACCAGATGCCCCATGAGAAATACAAAATGAGTACCCAGCCAGTGGGGGGCCAACAGTGTAACCAACTCTAGGAAGTTAAAAATAACACGTACTAGGAGAACTACAGGAATGTGTGATTTGTCAGCAGGTTTTTACTAAAGGCAAAGGTGAGGGGAACCCTCAGATTGACTCCATGTTCGGTTTTGGCAGTCTGCAAAATCAAACTGTTGCTGGGTGAGAACGCGGGCGGGGGGGGGCATACACTAGGAGATGCGGGTGTCATTTTTACCCAAGAAAATCAGGAACAAAAGGACACTACCTCCTTAGATTTACCTCTTTTGTATTTTCTTGGTCCCCCTCTCTGGCTCAGATACAGTAAGAAGGTCCAGTGTTCTAGAATGCCAGGCTTATCCAGGCATGGCCGGTAAATATCAGAGCACATTAAGCTGCATTTCTCCGCAGGTTTCAGGACTTGAGATGCCTTCACAGATCCAAGTGGGTCCCTTTAAGTCCTAATTTGTGCATTTGGCTCTTTTATCTAGAAAGAACGTGAAATCTCGGTGGCACCAGATTTGCCCAGTGTCCACACTGCAAACGACGTGCCTGGCCGAGTAGCACCCATAGCACCCGTGTGTAGCATTCTGGTTTTACTTCTATTCATACTATTCATATTAAGTTGTGATTGCCTAAGGATTTTTTTAAACCCGGAAACATCTGGGGCCCTAAGCCCTGCAAGTGTGCACTGGAACACAGCTACGTCCCTGCAACTTGTGAACGACACAAAGTTAAAGTGGTCACGGTGGCACTTAAACAAGGAAGAAGTGCTTCTCGTGCGTGGCCTCAAGAAGCCTTCCTTGGGAGAAGTCCCATGCATTAGAACAGTTCCCTGTTTTGTGGGAAGGAGCCTGGCGTGACTTGACTTTACAAAGATGTTTCTTTTATTTTTACAAAGTTCTTTCTTTTACGCCGGTTGTAGGTTTCTCAGACCCCAATACTACCCCCCACCCCCGGCAGTGCTGGTTCCAGGGGACACGGCCCAGGGCTTGGAACCTCCTAGAGGCACGAAGCCCCGGGGCCTCTGAGAACCAGCCAGGGGAACACCTGTAACTCCCCCTGGCGGCCTGGGGAACGTTCCCGCCTGTTCTGTGTCAGAGGATGAGTGCCTCCCACCAGGCCACTCACATCCTCTCCTTTTCCTTTCTGCTGCTTTTCGCCTTCAGATGGTTCTTGTGCAGCGGCTCTAGAGAGACTGGGAAGTGCCTGGGGGGCGGGGCGGGGGGGGGGGGGACGCTTAGGAAAGCTTGCCTCTCTAAGCCGTGTAGCCCGGACGGCCTTCCCTACCCTGCCCTCGCTTCTCTGGAAAGTGACAGTTGAGCGTGAAGAGCTTGGTTGGTTGAGTTTAGTCTCTGACTAGAGTGCGCCCTGTGCCGTCATTTCCAAAGCTAATCCCCAGTGGTACAATTCCTACCATGGCGGTGAAACTCCAGCTACCTATTTTTCCCTGCTTTGATTCATTGCCAGTCATTTCTAATAAAAACGATTATTACACTGTGTGTTAAGAGATTTGGCAAATCAAAACTGGATGGATAATTAGGTAAATGATTGAGAAATCCAAGCAACATTACTGCTATATCCATTACTCTAAATTGATGCAATTTGCTTAGAATACACAGGATGCTCTCAACTCCCAAGAAATCATATATACATACAACAGAAACACAGCCACCCAGGAAAAACCCGCGCCTGCATTCTCCTCCCCAGCTCTGCCCTACGGCGGCCACCCTCACCCCTGTCAAGAGGAGACCAAAACTATGTGCCCTAAGCAAATGTGAGTCACAGAAGACTGTGAAAAGGAAGCTCTTCTTGACCAGTGTCTCTTTGGAAATCAGGAACATCTTCCCACCTTGAAAGACATACCAGCACTTGACACTTAGACACCTAGTTCATTCCCTTTAGTATGAGAGAGAGGCACATGCTAAGCCTATCTGTTGTTAAAGCATTCCTAAGAAGAGGCCTGGGGAACTAAGAAGCGAAGAATACCTTACTCTGATTTCTTTTTCCTCTTTAGGTCCAGAGGGTGCAAACCTCTTTATTTACCACCTTCCACAGGAGTTTGGAGACCAGGACATTCTGCAGATGTTCATGCCTTTTGGAAATGTTATCTCTGCTAAAGTCTTCATTGACAAACAGACCAATCTGAGCAAGTGCTTTGGTATGCAAAAGAAACCAAGCCAGACCATTACAGTAGTCATGGGAAGGAAAATGTAAATGATAAATATTTTAGAAGTCCAGATAGGGCTTTCCCTGGGTGGTGCTGTTCCTGGTTTTCTGGATCCAGACTGGGCAAAGTCATTTAAAAAAGCAGAGGCAGGGGATGCCCATACATTAGGTACTGCTGAATCCTGTGCTATCAGAGTGCCTTACTCCATACATCTAATAATCTTTCACCGGAGGGCAGCAGCGATTTCTTTAAGCCCCGTGGTTTGAACCACAGCTTTGGCAGATGAAAATACACTTAACAGACCATAGTGTAGTGTAGGCTATCCTGATACAGAAGGGCACTGCAGACCCTTCACCACGATTTCCAGACCCTTCTGGGTTCAGTGTGATGCAGACGCTGTGGCTTTGGGTGGCACGTTGTGCTGGGAGCCTTCCCGTTCAGCACCACGACAACACTCACGTGAACCCTCACTGACGCATATCCCAACGCAGCAGGCCTGTGGCCATCTGCCCACCGCTCCATAAGCCCTGGGGTGGGCTGTTGAGGTATTTCAGAGTCACGTGCAATGCTGTGTTGTGCTGACATTCAGGGGCCTGAATCTGTGAAGACAGGATCTGCCGCGACTGCCCGAGTGGCAGCAGAGCGCAGGAGTTACAGGAATTCCTAGAACTGGGGAACACTCAGATCCTCGGTGGCCTGACCGCCTTCCCCGAGTAGCCCAGACCCTGCCTCCCCAGGCAGTGTCTGCCCCCTGAGAGAGTGAGGCACGCTCTCTACTGGCTCTGAAGTTTTATAGCAAGAGCACAGCATTCATTAAATCTATTTCGTATTTTACTTTTTGAGCCCTTTTGGGTCCCCAAAGTGGTTTAGAGGCCAGAATGTTAAGAGTATATATTACTCACTTGACAAGTCCCGGCCCAGTTTGATAGAACATTTGCCATAATCATTCCTCGTTTAGTAATTCGTGTAGGTAGTAGGCAGCAGTACAAAACAAAGCGGAATAGATACAGACCAGCAGAAATACAAATAAAATTGTATGGTATCGACAAAAACATCAAGGTGGGAGGGGGTGGTACTCAAACGTAGTATCTGGCCCACTGGTAATGGGCAGCTGGTCTAAAGAGAATGTTTCAGCTTGTAAAACCCCAGTATCCTATCATAACACCTTTTCAATTTCTGTGCTAGCACACAGCAAGGTCAGAAGCCTCTCTTTTTAGGGGAATTAGTATGGCAACCATCAAAAGTCACTGTTTTTACCCAAGTGGAAAGGCTGTCAGCCTGAACTCAATACACTGTGGCTTCTGCTACAAAAAAACCCCTTGTGATGGTTCATGAGCCAGTGAAATGGAAAGAAAGCAGTTACACAGGGGGTGTGCACTTGGGTCGCTCACCACTGGGAGCTTCCCTGCACAAGGGTTTGAGCCAGATTTTTATACTCCTCATTGATAAACAATGTCCTGGGCTTATCTGGAGATCAGAGAGGGATTGTGCTTCAGGTTTAAGAATATATGTACAGCCTTGAAGAGTGATTATATAAGCCCACAAACTATTCAGCCAATGTGTAATAATGCAGCCTATACCTATGCATATCAGCAGACAATTGTTTATCATGCTATGCACTGCTTCCAATTTTTGTCACAAGCTGCAGCATCCCTTACATTTCTCAGCCAGCCTAATTTGGGGGAGGGGCCCAAATTAGGCTGCATTATTACACATTATTACGCATTACAAAGCTGTCAGTCATAAGGTCGTACCCCATACTTTCATGCTAACCTCTTGGCCAGGTTTCGTTATCCATTTCACCCTTGACCCATTTCCATTCTTGAATCATCTTGCTGCTTCTGGATAAAGACCTAGAAGGAAAGGAGAAAATCAGAGCAGGTATCATGGATTCAAGATCACCTATACCAGGAATTAGATTTAGTCAAAATCTATACCCCCATTTTGCAATGCAACCTGCCTAGGAAAAGCTCTGCTGCATTATACCATATGCTCATTTTATCAGCTGAGAACTGTGCTAAAGGTGTATTTTATGTCCTTTTTTTCCTCCTCTAGCTTGTAAAGGAATTTTCTCTTTAGCTTTAGACTTTTAACAGCTGAGAGCTAAAATGCGCTCTATATAGTAGCTTCCTTTCAGCACCAGGGGCAGGGACAGTACGAGCTCAACACCTTGACATCAGCCCTAAGGCAACTTTTGTGTGTACCCTCCCACCCCCACCCCCAATGTCTTAACAAACTGTATGATCAGAATTGTGTTTCTGGGTCTTTGCAGAACATCACTGGTTCTTTGTCAGAAGCCTGTCCCACCCCCCCCCCCCGCCATTTTGGTACAGAGAAAGAGACTGGCAAGTCTGTTGGGGTGCTTCTTACGCCCTAAGCTGTTGACTCTTTATTCTTAGGGGGCATAAGGCAGCAATTTCCAGTCTGTTGAATTCAGTGGAGCTTTGAAAATGGAAGCTAAGCTATGGAAAAGAGGCCCAGCATTTCCCTTGGGTCCCTAGGTTCCTCTCAGAAATAACTCTAAAATGTTAGAAACCAAGTATAAAGTACTGCAGAGTTAATTCACTACCTGACTGTGTCCGACAGCGGGACAGGGAACAGGTGTGGGCTCTGTGGACACAGCTGGAGAAGTGGAATGGAAGTCAGGATCCTTGCAGGGCACCGTCACCAGCCCTGCCTTTAAACCTCACTAGGTTGGGACTGGGAGCCTCTGGGGGCCCTTTGAACCCCAGAGTATTTATACCCGAGCTTCCATGAGCACCACTTGGGGTGGGGGTGGGGGTGGGGGGGCGGAGGGCAGCAGCTCTGTCAGAAGGATTCTAAGGGACTTTCAACACCAACTTGACTGAAATCCATGAACCAGAGAGACCAGGAGTTTGAGATTTAGCTTTTCAGAAATGGGTTTTGCTGTCAGGATGCATCAGCTTCCCCACCCGCCCTTCCCAGTGGAGATTTCCAGTGCTGCCTGCAAACACCGGTGTCAGTAAGGTAGGAGCTCACACTGTGAGCTGAGTGGAGCGGCACGGAGCCCCCAGGACTTAGCGCTGCACTCTCCAGTCGCCCCGGGACGCCCTGTCCCTCTCCGTGTTGATTCCCACCCTCCTTCCCCTTGTGTTCTGCAGGTTTTGTGAGCTACGACAATCCGGTGTCTGCACAAGCTGCTATCCAGGCTATGAACGGCTTTCAGATTGGCATGAAACGCTTGAAGGTCCAGCTGAAGCGCTCCAAAAACGACAGCAAACCTTACTGATCCTAACCCCCGAGGCTCCCTGCTCTTATTTTAGCTTTCTTAGGGTAAGTCCCACAAGCCGGCCTGTTCTCAACAGGAAAGGCAGAGGAGGACCACATTGCCAACTTTTACCAAGAGAGACGGTTATTTTTACAATAAGGCCTCCATGTCCCCTTCCCATTCCCCCCTCCCCGTTCGCCATAATTAAAACTCGGGCTACCTTGTTTCTATCGAGTAAACTCCTCTTCCAGTTGTGCCACTGTATTCTCCTTTGTTTTGCAATTTGAATCTCCTTTAACCTTTGTTTTGTTTTCATTTTGCTTTTTTTTTTTTTTTTTTTAAGAAAAACACACATAAATAAATGACATCTTGAGAATTTAAAAGGCAAACAAAGGCTAATGTGCAATTCTAACTCTGAGACCCCTGGTGCCCCAGAGCACTGCCTGGAGAGCTCACCCTCCTTGTCCGCGCCCACCCCCGAGAAGGGCGCCAGCCGTGTAGAGGTTAAGGTGGCGGCCTAGCGCAGGAGAGAAGCCAGGAGAAGCACTTAAAACCACACAGACGTCTTTCCACTACATTTGGTTTCGTTTTAACAAGTAGGATTTTATTTTAGGGTTCAAAGAAACATGACATTTACTGGTCAGATTATTACACTGGTTGTCTATTTTGTTTTTAGTTTTTAGAAAGGATTAATGTAAAAAAAAGATTTAGAGATCTGTTTCTTAAAGCTACAGGGTTTAAAAATAAAATAAAAATGAGTGAAAATACTTGATGTTTCTTGAAAGATAAATTTAATAATAAATAAATAATACATAAATACATAAATAAAAAAGAAAGCCACAGGCCTGTAAATTTTATTTGTAAAAAAAGCATTTCTATTTTTGTACAAAATTTTTACTGCCTCAGAAATAATGGAAGTTATTTATTGCCTATTGTTAACTTATTGGGCACCTAAAGAGCAGTTCTCTGTGCTAGCTAGGTCCTTTTGAAGTAGTCTCTAGAGGAATTGTTCTAGGAATGGGCTTTTTTTCACCGTTGAACCCTAGGCCTACAGTTCATGCTTTATCCTCTCGTTGTTCGTATCTGTCTGATTATTTTGTTCGTAACTTCCATTATCTAGTTTACAGCTCAGTCGTCTGACTCTCCCCATATGTTACATCCGTTGAAACTGGATCCTCTCCCCTTGTCCCTTGCCAGCCCCCATCCCAAAACACCCGGAATCCATCCCCTCTCCTCCCCGGATGGATTCTCTTGGGGTTCCATTGTGCTGTGGATAGAGACTGTAAGAAATGCAAATTCCGCGAATGGCTCGTAGACTCCCTAAAGACCTAAGATTTGCATTAGTTTTTCTCCTGCACCCTTAAGAGTGATTTTGTTGCTGCTGCGTAGATTCTGTGTAACTTTTTACTCTCCCTTGTTTTCTCCCTAGACATCTTCATGCCCGTTAGTTCACCGTTTGCCTAGCATGTCCCTGTGGCGTCTCAAAAAAAGTTTCATCGTCCCGTCATTGTTTCTGATGTCTTTCTGACCTCACATCACATTTGGTTCTCCTACTGACCTTTGATCTAGTTTGACCTTTGAAATTTGCATGTGACCTCATCTAGCTATTGAATTCTGGGAAGTCAATGTGAAAAACATTGCTGCATTCATGCAAGACTGAAATTTATTATTAGACAAATTAATTATAGAAAAAAAAACCTGTGGCAAAAACGTTTCTTTATTTTTTTTTTTCTTTTCATAAAACAGACTTGAAAGTATTATACAGGGATTGGCATTCTTCCCGGTCACTGGTAACAATAGCAATATGTGTCCAGGGACACAGAATGTTGGTTTCTAACAGACTACTTCCAAAAACAGTTTGAGAAAAAAACTGTCTGATTTTAAGTCTCTAGAGGTCTGTAATAGTTTTTACATTTTTCAGGCAGTGTAAAGTTTTTTGATAAGGCCATTTTAGGTGGCTCACTTTCTCATTAAGATATATATATAGAACCACTTTTTGTAGATTAGTATAAGAAAAATATTTACCCTGTTTTGGGGCAAATGCTACCTATTTGTGTCACCTTTTGCTGAACTGACTCACAGTTAGACAATCCATGGTTTAATGCACACGAAATTACCTATATTTTATACTGTTTCAATGTACAGGAGAAAGGTTACTGTAAACTGTGTTATGTTGGTGCTTCTGTGAATTCAGTTGTGGCTTCATCATGAGTCTTACGGTCTCAATGTTCTCTGTTGATAAGACAAGTTTAGAATTGGTTTACTTAAAGATTTCAAAAAAAAAAAAAAGTTTGCTTAAAAAAAATTTCATGTGAGGGAAAAAAAAAAAAAAAACCTATTCCAGAATAAGTTTTGTGTTGGCTTGTAAAGCATTGATGTCATTTTTTTTTTATTGTGGACTATTTAGATGTGTTTGTGTTCAGCAAAATGTGATTTTTTTTTCTTTTAAAGAAAAAAAGTGAAAATATATAGTGCCAAATTCCAAAGGTACTTCCTTCCTAGAGCTTCAGTGTGTTTCTTGTGAGAAGTAATTTGATAACATGGGTATTTTATTATGTGTTTTGTATAAATCCCTAATATTTAAAAAACAAAAAACAAAAAAAAAAAGAGGTTAAAAAAGTTTGTTAACTTGCTATCCTGTGGTCTTGTTGCCTGAAATTGTTATTGTTTGTTATTTCTCTATGATGTTTTTTGTAAGACATTGTATAAGTGCCCATGTCTCACTTTTTTAACCGCTCTGCACATCAATGCTGTGACGGCAACCTCACGATGTATTTTCTTCATAATATATGGAAACCTCTAAGGTGAGAAAGTTTTGAACTTTTAACCCTTTCTACCCAGAGCTATCTGGAATGTGGGTAACTTTTTATACTGTCATAATTTTCTTTGTTCCGGGGTGTTTCTCATTTGGATCCCCCCAATACATACATCTTTTTTTTTTTTCCTTCCCTACTTTTTTTATCCATTGGTTGAGATCCAAAAGAAAAAAACTCCACAAGGCAAATCTGAAGGAAAAAGAATATACTTTAACCCTCTCTGATTTTTTTTATCCTACACCATTTTTTTTGTCGTTGGATTATTTTTGATCATTTAAAAAAGATACTCCTGAAATTCCTTCTCCTGTTTTAACTTAAAAAGTTTACTGGCTAAATCTTCTAAAGGGGGACAGTAGGTAGATCCAACACCTACATTCACCTTAAATTATATATGATTTTGAGATCAGGTTTAGGGGTATGTTCCAGTGCAGAATATTTTCATTATACCTTCCAGATAAACGACTTTGTGATGAGGTAGTATTTTGAGGAATTTTTGTTTCTTAAATGCTTAAAGAATTAATGTTTCTAATCAGCCGCTGGGCTACGCATTCTCTGATCCCAGTTAGACACCTCTGACTAAGCAAGGGGTCTGCGATGAGACGCAGACAGTCCTTTCCCTTTGGGTTAACTTTATTAACTGAAACCCTGTGAAGGGGATGGACCACCTATGTGCAGCGCTGTTCTGTATCACCGGGACTGGCCAGACACCCAGTACCAGGTCCTCCTGCCGCTTGGTCAAGTGCCGTATTAACTTGGACTTCGACTTCATGTTGAACAGAGCTCTCTTGCTGTCTTGACAAACCCCTATGTCATCCCTCAAGCCCCAACACAAACTCCTGCCTTCTTGAGAGAGGCCCTGGAAGCTTCTTTGTCTCTAAAGGAGTTCAGAAACTGCTGGCTCCCTTTCCGCCCTCCTCTTTCCCACTCACCACTCCGTTCGGTTTAGTGTGTGTGTGGATGTGACAGCCCTGGGATGGAAAGGACTAGCCTCTCATGATGCAAAAAACACACACACACACACACACACAACCACCAACTCAAAACAAGTTTCCTCCTCCTAGCACATGCACTTACAACGAAGTGACGCGTACTGTCCTCACACGTGTTTACTACTGCTGGGGCCTTCCTTCATCCTTTGAGGGCTATTTTGTACTTCCTGCAGCAATCAGCTTAATACCAGAAGTTACTGCACGTGTCGCACATACAGCCCAGGGTGGCTCGTGGATGCACAGAACACGAGAGAACACCGTCTGAATTTCAGACTGTCCTCTCCTGTCACCCGCCTGCGCTCCCCGCCAGGAGCCGAGTGCTGGTGGCCGCACGCTCAGGACGGGCACTTCTGCACTGGGCGTCTCTCTTTTGCAGGCAACCAGAGACCGAAGGGGAAAGTTCGGGGGTTTCTCTTGCTTTGTTTTTTGGGTTCTTTTTTTTTTTTTGGCATGTTTGCGTTGTTTTTAAAGCTAACCCTCAAAGACAAACTGTCCTTTTACTCACTTTATCTTTAAATATAAAAAGGAAAAAGCTGCAAGGGTACAAAGGGCCTGTGCCAGAAGGAAAAACACACAGGGAAACTTTTTTTTTTTTTTTTAAATCTAGCATAGACAATAGTTGTTTTTAGACTAAATTTGAGAATTGTGAGAAAATGGCGGTCCTCAAAGGCGTAACAAGTTCACCTTTCTTTCACCATAGGGGTTACAGTTCTTTGGCTTGTGCTACTCTGGACTCATTTTACTGTTTGTTTTTATTATCTTAAGTGCTAATTAACAAGAAATAAAATTTTAAAAAACCTGTAGTTTCATTACCTTTTTGAATAATGTCATACAAAAAATGTATGTGTTTTTTTGTGCTGTGAGAATTGTTGTTTGTAGATTAATAATATCATTTTGTTTAGAATTACAAAATAGTTTTTAAATATTGTCTGAGAAAAGCCAAAGTTAATGCAACCTAGTGGAAACTGTAAGACCATTTGAGTATTGTTTGTTTTATTGATGCATCTGGATTTTGTTGTTTGATGGAATTTGAGCCAAAAAAAAAAAAAATACGCAGGCTTTCCTATTTCTACAACTGATTGTACTCACGCATTTTGTACCAGTGGAACTTTTTATACTGGAGATTAAAAAAAAAATGGAAATTTTTGTGGCTTACTCTAGTGGGCCCCCTGACAATGACTGATTTCAAGTTTGATTTCTGGTTGATAGAAAGAAAGTTGCTTTTCTTTTGAGAATTAAAAACTTTGGCTTGATTTCTTTTTTCCCTTTGCTTATATCTAGCATTAGAATTTTGTCTTAAATACAGCGGTAAGTTTCACTTTTTATTCTGTACTGTGCAGTTACACAATAAGGTAATTAGATTTAGAAGTACTCAGTCACTTTAAGTGGATAAATGTATTAGTTACAACTTTAAGGGTTTGCTTTTTTGCTGTTTAGATCAAAGTTTTTTCCGATTCTTCTGTCCTCATTGTGAACATAACCGTGTAGTTGAAACAGTCAAACTTATTTTTGTAACGTATGTTATTGTGTGATGCAGTTTTTTGCTTCTGTCTCCAATATTAAACCATTTTCCTAATACTTGTTTCTATCTCTGCGTGTTGTATTGTTGGCAGTCATTCTGTGTTGGTGATGCATCTACACACCTCACTGTTTCACGTATCTGTTCTTTTTCTCTATGTTGTGTGAAAAGATACAGTCGATTCCACCTAAGTGAATATCTGATTTGGGGAAAGGGGAAACCGCACACCAGCCACCTCCGATTTACCTACAACACACAGCCCGTTTTAACCACTGCTTCCGAGACTGCCACTTACTGCTACCGTTCACCTAAATAACCGCCTCTGCTGTTGGACCTGCCAGGACCGTTTCCGATCTTGTGAGCACAGTGGTCACTCCACCCGGTGGCCTCTGGCCCTGTCCCCCTCATGGGTGTGTGTGCGCAGCTCCTCACACTTGCCCACCACCGCTCTGCTGGCTGCGGCACCTTAAGAGACGTAGGAGCAGCAGAGCCGGGTTCCACCCACCGCCCCACAGGGCTAAGGGCACAGGTTACAAAACCTTCTCAGAAACTAACCACGTATCTTAAAGAGGTGAGCTCTAAGGGAAAAACCCACCGACCTGGCGAATAGAGGGTGTGAAAAGGGTTCGATTTAAGTTCATGCGTTGCTATTAATCACTACCTATATAGAAAGGTAACTTATTTTTAAGAGCTAACTGAATCCAGGGGCAGCTTTAATTATTAAGAATAACAGAAAATGAAGTACTTCCACGTCCTCAATCTAGAAGCTCTCCTCGGAGGTGGGAGGGCAGGGAAGTAAAGATTCTCATGCTCACGTCTTCATAATCTATCGTCCATCTCCAGATGAAAGCCAGGAACGCCCTATGCGTCCACACACTCCCTCCTGAATGAACATCTGTTTTTTAAAGCCTTGTCCCCCACTATGGCCCCAACCCCAGCGACCAAAAGAGAACTAAAGAAAAACACTCTTCCGCATATGCCCTCTGCAACGAAGCTCCAGGCCCCCCTCCCTTTTCTGCCCAGCTCTTAAGCTCAGGAATCTGACCGCTCTCCAAGTGCTCTTAAAAGATTCCATTGATGTTTGCTCCCTCTGTCTTAGCTCTCCTTCCAACCTTTCCGACCACAAACTCTTGTCTGACTCAGGCCCCCCCGGCGCCGGGCAGCCTCCTCTGGCTGCCAGTGAGATTCTCCCTGCAGGTGCTCAAGCCCTTCGCCCTCTGGTTTCGGCGGCCCCTCTGCCCCCTAGATTGTCTTCTCTAGTCGGCTCAACAACAGAGGGGCCCAGAGAGGCGGAGGAAAGGAGGCTCTTTCCCCCCCATAGGCCGAACACCTCGGTGAAGTGACTTCCTCCAGCTCCAAACCTGCGCGGACAGGAGCTGACTTCCAGCCAATACTTCCGCTTTAAATCTCACACTGCAGGGGACTGCCTCCGAGACCCACCGCTGACCTTAGTGGGGAAAGATGGCTAAGGGTGTGTTTTGTTTTCTTTTGTTGATGGGGGAGGGAGGGAGAAGCGGGTAAGGAGGGTGATTATTTCCAAGAGGCAAGTGTTCATTTTTACAGTCTGTAAGTAAGACAAGTATATATACCCACCATTTGGCACAAGGCAGAATGCTCGTGCTAAGTAAAAGAAGGGGAAGACAAAGCCAGTTTCTGTTGTTGCAGTTTGAGAAAAACAACAGAAACAGTAATTCTCCAAAGAAGGGGACAAAAATGCTAGTTCCCTTAAGCACTCACGATTGTAAAGTTGGTCCCTGCTTGAATTCGTCCTTCTCATTTTGATTCCGTGAAACACTGCAGTGCTAGTGAGCGAGGTGCCTCTGTTTGCCACACACAGACCACCTTGGGGAAGCACAGAACCGTCACCACGCTGGCGGCAGCCGCACGTCTGCCCGGCCCCTAGCACTTCCGAACAAGCCTCGGGCCCGGGGCTCTTAGCTGGCAGGCTAGGAAACACAGTGAGCATAAATGTACTGTGAATCGTTCCTGATAAGTGAATAAAACATTGTGACCGAACAATCAGCTTATTCACTTATCAGGAATCGACTGTTCTGCTAATTCGCTGTTTCTGTTTTTCATCTCTGTTGTAGTTCACTATTTTTGCTGTGTTCTGTTTTCTCCTCTCATGCTTGGGCAGAATCACTGGGAATATTATCTTCATGTGACCATAAAACGTTTATATCGAGTGAAATGATATCTTAACAAAATCTATGCACTTGCTATCAGGAACACAATACTGGATGTGTCTTATATATATTGAACTATATAGTACTCGATTTCTTAAATAAAGCTTAAGAAAGGACTCTGTTGTGTGTAAAGTTAATGTGATTATTTTTCAAGGCAGTGTTTCTAAGGGGTATCTTTGTTCTTTTAAGTGTTGAGTGATACAGGATATTTTTCATTAAAATTATATCACTGGCTTTATGACTTAATGTTCAATAAATTTTCTTTGGAAACAAAATGGAGTGGGGGGAAGTTCTTCCAAGTACATTTTAGCAGATGTCTATCTGGAAAACCACCCCCTCACTGGTGACCATGGCAAATCTCTACCCAGGGCACTATGGGTGGCAGAAGAGAGCAATCCCTTCACCGCCAAAGACCTCTGGGAAGCATCTAGAATGCGCCCTACACTAGAAAACCCAAGGG